CCATCTTCCCAAGCATAGAGAGTTAAAAATGACCATGTTAAAGGTAAGCCCGGCCCAAAATCAAGAAGTTGCCCCATCGAGATGATTTCTGGCTACGCCCTGTTCAATTACGAGCAGTTTTTTGGAATTAATTTCAACAATGCGTGCTGACGACTATAAGATTTCGAAGTGGACGGCCCTTGGGTCATCCGGCACCGCCATTTTGTGCCTACGTACAGGATCTCTTGCGCGCGTTAACCTTGAACGCTATAGCTATATATATTATAGAAATAGCGTTCGTGCTTAAAGTCTGGGCAACTTCAAAGTTATGCACATGCACAACTTGGAGCACGCAATGTTAACGCAAACGCGAAATTTGTGCGTATACTGCTTCCCGCTATAATAAAACTCGCTATTATCGGCTTACAAGGCAGTGAATGATCTTTTTTTGCTTTAAATGCGAAACATTTTTTAGCGAACTTCGGCGACTTTTAGCGTAATCTATCTATCTATCTATCTATCTATCTATCTATCTATCTATCTATCTATCTATCTATCTATCTATCTATCTATCTATCTATCTATCTATCTATCTATCTATCTATCTATCTATCTATCTATCTATCTATCTATCTATCTATCTATCTATCTATCTATCTATCTATCTGGTGTCTGTCTGTCTGTCTGTCCATCCGTCTACTACTTTTAGCTCTCCTGGTCGTTTCGATAATGACATTGATGCCGAAATTGGTATGACATAACATGACTGTATGACGCACACAAGTGATTAGTCAGAACATGAACATCATGACATGTATGAGATTATGGCATGATTTGCATTTTTTGGTCTTGGTGCTTTTGCAGTGGTTTAGTTTATATGAGATGTTGCAAAACTAGCAGGGTATGGCATGACTGCATGGTGAACACAAGCAACAGACCCTAACAAGAAAATCATGGCAGGCGTTTCATGTCACAACGTGACCACAAGCCACACTCATAATGCACTCACGGCCATTTCGCTACCTTCGCATATACTAAATTTAGTATTACGTAACGCCAACAGACGATGAAAGTAAATCAGGCGTCGGAACTTGATAATCGTAACATGCGTGTCATGTAACACCATGACTACATGGCACACTCATCATGCACTGACGGCCGTTTCGATAGCTTCACATATACTAAATTTCATGTTACGGGACGTGAATGCATGACGAATGTATGTGACCGGGACAAACATGGCAATTGTGAGATGCGTGTCGCGCAACAACTTGACTATATGCCACACTCATGATGGGCTCGCGGACGCTTTGCTAGCTTCACATTTACCAAATTTGTTATTACGTGAGGTGAATGGACGACGAAGTTAAATGACATGTTCAAACATGATAATCTGAGCATGCATGTCATCTCGATTATGAATACATTCTACGCTCATTGTGCGCTCGCGGTCGTTTTGCTGCCTTCACATATATCGATGTTGGTGTTACGTGATGTCAATCAATGACGAAGGTATATGACTGGCGCAAACATGATAATCATGGCATACGTGTTATGTAAGAACTTGACATGCCATGCTCATGATGCGCTTGCGGCCATCTCGCTAGCTTGACATATACCAAATTAGATATTACGGGACGTGAATGAACGACGAAGGTAAATGACATGTTCAAACATGATTATCTGGGCATGCGTGTTTTGGAAAACATGACTGCATGCTACGCTCATAGCGCGCTCGCAGCCGTGCGCTAGCTCCACATATATCAAATATGATATCACGTGACGGTGAATAGACGAAAAAGACAAATGACACTTGCAAGCATGACAATCATGACATGACAGTCTTGAACGGCCTAGTTTACGTCCACCTCTCAAGGTTGTTCTGGTGTTAAGGTGACATATCAACCTCCTCCTTTCGTCTTCGCATATCATCAATTCTCACTGTACGTGGGATCTGTCAATTTATTTTTGAGAAGATTTTGACATGAGATCACTGAAAGTGTCTGACTGCGCAAAGTTGTTCTGAAAGGTGCATTCAGTCACGTATTATTTTCCTTCTCTCTTGCTTTCTTTCTCTACGCCCGTCTTTTCCGTTCCCTCCCGGCTCACGCTCCTACAGTTGTTCCGAGCAATGGAAGTTTATCTCTTCTGACATTCACCTGTGCATCGGTTGTTATCGAAATATATATATATATATATGAATACACCAATACGAAATTCATATATGCTCTCTGAAGCATTGTGCCCTTTCGGTGTAGCGAATGCTCTTTATCCGCTTCGCACAAACCCCGGCCTGCGTACACACCTGATACAATAAATGTAGGTGGTCAATGTTTAGGCTGGTTGGTTTACGTGAGTTAAGTTCCAAAGTCGACCCAGGTGACGCTGTTAGGGGAGGGTGCTAGATAATTTCAACCCCCAGCGGTCTTTTAACGTATGTCGCACTGTATAGACGGGCCTCCAGCATTTCACCTCCACGCAAACGCAACCGCTATAGACGGCATCAAGCCCATGCCAAACTAGTGAAAATCAGAGCACCCAAAGCACTGGTTCACGGTGGATACCGAGTATATCAGCTGATCAACCTGAATACTACAAACTTTGGCTAGCCATAACCATTTGTTTGTTGCTCAACCTTGCATGACACCACACAAGTGTTTTTATGTACGGTACTTCGTTAACGTAATTCACACCAGTTACCCTAGAAAAAAAAACTGCAGTAACATTCATAAACTAATTCGATGGGAGAAACTGATGAAGGCACGTTTAGCATTTGCAAGCCGTAGGCCACGCGTGGGCTGGAAACACTGTTATAACCTTCAAATAGCACTGGCGATGACGTTGCAAGGCAAGAAGCGCACACAACGCACAAGTTTGCGGATTTTTACACTTAGGCAACACTCCATATCATTAGTCTAATAAAAAATACACTATTGCGTACAAAGCGTTCTACCTGGCACGCATCTCATGCACCTGCATTATCGTGCGAACGTAGAAGAGAGACTAGCGAACTCGTGAAATGTGTCTGGGGCTTCTACACGATTTTAAAGTACTTTAAAGTAAATTTCAATAAATGTGCTCTGAATATAAAAATCAGGAAATTCTCAAGCATACTTCAAAGTTTTCCTTTAGTTTTTTTTTGCACGCCCGCTTTGGCATAGTTGTTGGTTTTTTCATGTTTAAAACAACGAGTGGGAGGAATGAAAAAAAAACAGTCCCAAAAATACTTTGCCAAAAGCAGTGTTTCTCTACAAAAACGCCGAGAACGAATTTCTTCCTTTTGATGGTTATTTTCGCTCATAATTACGATATGTCTCCTTGCTGCAAAGTGGCTGCCGCCTTAGAGTCACTTTTTGTGTTGGCACGGCCCAGCAAATCGATAGCCTGTTCTGTCTTTTGCGATAACATAACATAGATTTTGCAAGATGTTTTAAGCCTGTCTCATACTTTCCTCCAGTAAGGATAGAACTGAAGCCCGTAGCTAATAGAAATGTAGCAGTGCCGACAGGATGAATGCTTTATGAAGCCAGTGTAACTAATTCGTCGGAGCGGTGCGGTAATTTGTTTGGTTCCAGGCGTATTTGAGTACAGCGATGTTGTCACACTCTAGTGGGAACCAGCATCAGCGCTGTGGATGTTTCATTTTATTTTTCGTTTTATTTCCAAACGGAAAAAAGTGAAGCTGCATGATACAGCATGTTGCAGAAAACTGAAATTGATGCTTTTAAAAGAGCTGAAAAACTAATTCACCCGTTGACCTAATTCCAGATACAAGCAGTATAATATATAAAGGTCTTTGTCCAGTGGTGTATAACAAAGAAGATTTACCTTCATTTCTGTCAAGAGTATCACTTCGGTTGAAACTTTAGCACACCAACTGGGTAACTTGGACGGCGTGCATTGGTCGACAAACTCACTCATGTGTCGGCTCACTCGGATTCACTCAGATCAAGCCGTGAGCCTGAGTGAGTCCGGGTGGGAAATATTTTTGTGAGTCTGATTTCGAGTGAGGCTGGCGGAAAAAAACATTATCGCGATTGTAAGTCCGAGTGAGTTCGGCTCAGTAAAAGCTTGGCGAGTCTGAGTCCAAATGAGTCCGAAGCGCAAAATATATTTCTTGAGTTAAACTGCGTGAGTGCTATCATATTTTGCCGACCTAAGTTTTATCTATTCATTTTCTGCATTACAATTATAGCGTTACCTGTACTCAAACTTATACTCGCGTATGGAATTTTATGCCACTGCCCAGCATACCAGTCTGAACGACGTATTATGGAAGCCAAGCTCCGTCAGCTGGATTCATGACCGCTTACGAAAAAGAAGAACCTGGGACTTTGGCCGACGGTTTCCCATACGCGCAAAGCCACAAAAGCCCTCTTGTGTTTCCTAAGGACGAGCGCTTGTCAAATAACCGCGTGAGACCGTGCTGTGTAGTCTGGAGCTGACCATTTATCCATCTCTTTCTTACTCCTCTTCCTTTCTATCTCTTTACTTTTTTCTTATTCCTTCTTTATTAATCCCCAAGTGTAGGGTAGCCAACCAAGCCAAGCTTGTTTAACCTCGGAACATTTACTCTCTCTCTCTCTCTCTCTTTCTCACTCTTTCTATACTCACGTATACCCACAGGTATTCCAAAGCAGTGTCATTCATACACAGTTTTATGAGTTATTTATTAGAGGCGTAAATAACGTAGGGAATTCCTTGATCTCGCCCCATTCTCTCTTTGAAAAAAAAAAGCTTGAATATTGCATCTTATTCTGTCACATATTCCAGCAAAAATGACCTCACTGGTTTGGATGCCCTCAAAACTCGTTTTCGAAAATACCATGTCAAACGCCACCATGAAGAGCTAAAATTACGTGAGATTATGGTGTTAAAAAGCATTGGCATCACGGTCGGAGAAGCTACTTCTAGGATGACAGACTCATGAATCGACTCACTTGGACTCACTCAGACTTGGATTGAGCCGTGAGTGTGAGTTTGAGTGAGTCCGGCTGATAAAAAGTTTCCTGAGTGTGAGTATGAGTAAGTCCAAAGCTTAAAATGAATTTTATTACTGAGTCTAAGTGAGCTCTACAAGTTTTGACTGCGTGACAGTAAAAGCAAAAAATGTCTAAATGTCTTTATCGATATTTTATTTCTAAGAACTCGTATGTGCCATGACCACTGTCTTGAAACATGAATTTTCTTACTGCTAGTACTTCATTACTGTCTCTCATTTCTTAACGAAAATATTGTGTTACCTTGACCAGGATTAGGCGACATCTGCACGTAGCGCGATCTCTCGTCGGCCGAAGTGACAGCGTGCCATAAGTGAATGACAAGTAACAAAAATATATCTGAAGAAATAAGCTTGTTATAAAAACAACTCCCAGTTCTAAACAGAAGAGACTTATTTAAACAATCTGGCGAAGTTACAGGGTCGCACTACAAACTGCGCGGTTTTCTGTAGTGTTTAATTTTGAAGAATAGGATCCCATGTGTTTCTGTGCTCGGTGTTCAATTATCTTGGGAAGCCTCACGCTTTGTAGTGTGACGCTGCGTTTTTACTAAAATGTAATAGTTTTTCTGTGTTTCATGTAACCCGTAGTCATTTTGATAACTATCTTTTTTCAAGAGGTATACAATTTTCTCACTTAATTACCATTCAGTTATGGCCGGCTGGCGTTACTTCCGCCGGGAGATGGCGCCAAAATCAGATGTCTGCCATTCCAGAGAATGTGCTTTTGTACAATTAACTTTCCTTTTGCATTCTACTGAGGTACTCAGTGTTGTTGTGAGGTGGGGAGATTCACGGTGTAGTAATTCCGTTTGCTCATTGCCTTGCCTGACGGAACGATGAGCAGGGAAACGGCCGCCAAAGCACGGTTATAACTCACACCTAGAGGAACATCAAGTTTAAATTCACGCAACTGTTACATTCCTTGATTATTTTCCAAGTAACGAAATCGATAACCATACTATGGTAATCAGTTGCTTTTGGGAGCGAGAACGTTTAATGGAAAGTCAGTCTACGGAAGGCTGTTTCCTCGAGCAGATAACGCTTTATATGGGGTTCTGGCGATGCTGCCAAAAAGCTTTGCAAATGTCCTGGCTCTGTGATATTTCTTTATCCCCACGAATAAGCGATACAGCTTACGCCATCACTTGTGCAAACTGCAAGCGTCTTGTCGTGCTCCTGTTGCATTTCAAGGTGGCGCTTGGATACGCCCTCCAAGCGCAAAGCTTTGGTTGTATATACTTTACTTATATATTGAAAAGGAACATTGCCTCCAGTTTTAAATTATTTCGCTCGATTGACGCCTATTAGTCATATATGCCAAATTAGACCAGAGCCAGACTTTTCCTCCACTCTGCTCTCCTGCATTCCACTGAAAACGATTGTACTACAATGATTCTGAGGAACTGAGCCATATATTTTAATTACCGGTCGTCCATATTGCATTTGCGAACTTCGTCTCTCATGAGCAGCACAACAGCACAAACTCTTGACTACAGTCACTCCAGATGGGGTACAGGGAAGTTATACTTGTCGTGGACCGCTATTGAGTACATAAAGCACAATATGCGTCAGCAAATATCATAATGCTTTGCTATGACGATGTCAATGCTCCAGCTTACAGCTTAAGCCTTGGGCGAAACTCTAACTTCCTTAAAGCAAGACAACTCTCTGCATATATATATATATATATATATATATATATATATATATATATATATTATATATATATATATATATATATATATATATATTATATATATATATATATATATATATATATATATATATATATATATTCTAGCTTCATTTATAAAGTCATAACTATATATCAATCTTCGGTTGAGTGCGTCTTTATTACAGAAAACCTAAAGAAGGAACCTTTGTGATAAATTTATTACTAAATTTAGGACATTTACATCATGAAATCATTTTCAACCTATTGTAAAATCACTGCATATAACACACCTGATTGAATGGCACATGCAGCATATCTATTATAGCTCTCGCTGCAAGCGATGGACAATGTTTTATTAACTATGTGGCCGATTGTCCAAACTCTTGTGCCAACCGGGTGCAGATCTTTCAATTAAATCATATTGATTCTGGAATGCAATCTCCTATTTCGGATAAATATACCCATTCTATCGGAACAATAATTCACTAAAAGCTCCCTATATTGTATTAGGGAAATGAACTGTGCCCCATCGTGCACACAGCAATAGGAAGAAAAAGACATAAAACATCTTTTATATTGCAGAAACTATGCTGTTCTCTATTATTTGTTTTAAAAAACTCAATAGTTTGGATAGACAAGCGCTATTAGTAGCAAAAGCTTTTGGTCCATGGTTAGTAGAAACTCTTGAAAACATCACTGCACGTGCACTATTGCAGTCTTTAGAAAAGTCAAGAATATTGGGAAGATACTGTTCGCATTGCCAATTATCGCTCGCATCGAGATGCGTCTGGGCAGATGACTCACGTTGCTTCCTGCGTTTCACGAGAACTGTGTTCAAAGTGTGGGCAAGTGGCATGCGACTGTTGTATGCTCGCCTTCTATATAGAGAGCTGAGATGAAAATTTTCCGCAAAGTGAGAGCGTTTCGGGTGTTTCTTGCGTATGATCATCATAGTTCACGCTTTGAAATTACTTATGATGTGTGAACATTGCTTTTGTATATAGATATCGTTCTTGCGTGAATTCTGCATCGCTTCATCGTATTTGAAAACTTAACGACTCAAATTGTCTTTTAGGAGAAGAAGAGTAGCCTAACCCATATCTGGTTCCCAACCTGAATATATCTCATTGAAAAAAGGAGCCATTTTTAAGCTTCTCTCACGTGCGTGCGCACGTCTCTTACCGTTATCTGTTTCTTTTTTTTTCGCAGCTTGGATGCTTGGCTGGTTCATGTGCAAGACAGTGTCGTACCTTCAAGGCGTAGCAGTCAGTGCCTCCATCAACACGTTGGTAGCTATATCCATGGACAGGTAAGTGGCTCCACGGAAAGCCGCTTTTGTGCATAAATAGGAAAGGCGTAGGAGAGATGCGCTTGTTGTAGCGCTGCTTAAAGCATAGTTTTTATTTTCGCTGTCCTTCTTAGGTTGACGCGAGAATGCAATAATAATACGTGTTACGCGTCAGTTATGCGTTTGCCCTACATCTTCTGACCACTACGTGTTACCCTACTTTCTGGAAAGTGAAAACTTCGAGCATAGTGTGTTTGTGTACGCCCTGTGTACGAAATATCTGTGAAGTTGGGATTCCGCTAAAAATACTTGAGTCTTATTTAAAGTTCACTTGAAAACGTGTGCGCCTGATAGGAGCAGCAACTTATCTGTAAGCACAATACGCTTTCAAGGTGCCCAGATCTTATTTATTGTCTAGTACCCTCCGCAAGGCACGTATAAATTTTTAGTGTGTTCGACTGGTTGCCTCTGCCCTCCGGCTCAGAGATGAACAGATTCGGCATAGTTTCCACTCTAAGGCATAGCACAAACGCTCTAGTAGAACGTAAAACTCGTTGCCATAGGAAAACCGGAACAAGAGGATCCATAGGCCTACAGCGAAAATTCGTTTTCTAGTAGAAGCCGTGCCGAAGCCAAGCCGAAGCTTCTCTCACTGTCGAACAAAATGGCCGAGTTGCGGTTGAACAAGCTGTCAAGAGGGGAACGCTCAGCTTGGTGAATTCCTGGTCACAGGCACGGCTTATATTGTCATCACCGTCGAGTATTTCTCCTCTGGTCTCCGGGTAGGTTGACAAAGAAGATGACATTAACTCAGTGCTTTAGCAGCCTCTCTTTGACACGCTGAGAAAACTGCACAGATACCAGACGAAGTGATTGCTTGATATGACGCCGTCATAACCATTATGCTGCTTGTGATCACCTGGCTGGAAGTACTCGCACTGCTCCGTCGAAAAGGCTCGGAACAGCTCAGAGCGCACGACGAGAGAGGAGAGCAATGAAAAATAGCCAGCCCAATGCTAAGCAAGCACTTGCTTCTAACCATCCGAACACAATGTCGTTCGCAAGAGTGCTCTAGAGCGCTCCGAAACTGCCAGTCTAAAATGGCAACTGCGTAATAATTTGTTTAAAAAAGTTCTTCATACCATAACTCTCTCTCTTTTTTTTATAAAAAATGCAGTGGCACGTCAATGGTGTCGCTGAATTTAAGTCCTAGAATTACGTTTTTCAGCGTTCTTTGGCTCTAGTAGTTCGGATCGCCACGCCACCAGCCATGCGCATGCCTCGTCTGTACTAGTCAACGTCCACATGCGACGCTCTTTTTGTGATGGAGAAATGAATGAAGGTCAAATAAAAAGATAACGTGGTAAACTTTTTGATACGAAGCGAAATATCAAATAAAACATTTTTACACGAAGTATACGAAATAGGCATAAGAACTTGTAATGAGGAAAAATAAATGCGCAAGAAGGCTAAGTGAAGCGTCAGGATTCATGTCAGAAAGGAGCAAAATGACGGAATCGGTCGGCGAAGACAACTGTCAGAACTTCCGAGAAAAAGCGTCATCTCGCAGCTCCGACCACGTGGCACGCTTTGCCCCTGGGGCATTTCGTAACTGCCTACGAGTCGACACAATGGACGCGACCCGCCTTAGGCGCCTTGTTTTCTTGGCTCCCTGTAGTGAAACTAAATTGGCTTCTTTATCTTTTTTTATATCGGCCACTCTAGCTGTCACCCCCTTGCGCACGCTGAAGACCGTGTGTCGCTCCTCGACTGGCACCAGGTCTCTGCTTCTAAATATAAATAAAAAATTAGTGGTGTGGTATAAAGTAGCTTCTCCAATATAGGTTTTCCTTTGTTCATTGAACAAGGCGTCGCGTCGAGCCCGTCGGGCACCGGTGACACTGGTGCAGTTTGCTTTGTTTTGCAGAGTTTTCTAGCCGACGCTTTTCATCGACATAAGCAATCATCGGTTTCATTTCTTTTTTCCCTAGTTTTTTCCTCTTTTAAACGTGCTATAGTCATAGTTAGAATGCCGGCTTTTTACAATCTACATCAGAGCAAATCTGATTGCTTTACTCAGTTCTGGATGTACGCGCTATTGAAAACTCATAACTTTTCTCTTATGGAGCCGCTTTGCGTTTTGCCATAGCTGGCTTCTGAGCGTTTACATATAACTTCGCTACACTTTCTGGGAATAGAGTTCTCATCGCTTCCTCCTGAACAGCGTTTAGTAGGATGAACTCCATTTTTGACACTTAGTAAAGTGCTTCCTACTGCGGGATAGATGCAGTCAGGATGCAGCCGAGACTGAGCAACAACAGTGACATGAATCTGTTATCATAATAGAAAGATAAATGTTTTATTAAGGAAAGGGGGACCGAAGGTCACTGATGGGAGAGTGGAGGAGAGGGAAAGTGTATGATGAATAATATTGTCTAATGCAGCCTTTTCTATGTATTTGGACACAATAAATTAATATTAGGAAAGTATGCAACATGGTTGCCGGTCTAAGAACATTGTAATCGTAAGCTAACGGTGCTCTTCCTAAGGACCTGAGGCCTATAGCTTAGTATCCTTTTATTATTTCTAGAATAAACACTTGAATACTATTGATCTAGTTGTAGTACATATTTATAATGTTAAACATCTCAATGTAATCAGCTGAAATGTAACAGCAGCTCTAACTACCCGCACAACATCACGCACGACAACAAACAGCAAGCAAGAAACACCGCAGTGGTGCCGCATCCATTGCAATAGGGCTGTCTTGTCCCTTACCAAAACACGCGCTCTTTAGCACGCAACTTGCTCGAAGTAATTTAATATTTGTGTCGCTTGCATGTGGCATGTTAGGGATGAAACATTTTGATACATATTATCTCATTCTCGAATACTGAGAAAAGCATAACAAAATGACCTTCAAATATAAGAAGAGAGTGGGCTATCAAACCGTTGGTGCATATTGCAGCTGCTTTGATCTGTGTACGCATTTTTTTTCCTTCGAGGTGATGGGTTAAAAAAATTAATCGGGCTACTGATTTCTTGCGTAAACTAAATATTTTACCAGCGTAGAACGCAGTGCCTCCGAAGTGGGCTGGTGATGGCTGAGAAATAACTATAAAGCAGATACCTCTCGCTTAAGGTCAAGGGAATAGCTTTCTTGCCCAAAATATTTTTTTTCCTTTTTCGCAATAGAATAGCAGGTGAAGACGAATCCGATATTATACACGAATACCACACTCGTCCATTAGCGCAATCAAGAGAAATATGCTTGCTTACTGCCACAGTTGCTTGTACTTGCGCGTGCCTCATGGGCTTTGTAGGGTCTCTCGACCACACAAAGCACATAGGATATATATATATATATATATATATATATATATATATATATAATAAGGGAAAGAAGTGTATACCTAAGGGCTTGTTTTTCCGTGTTTTAACACAATATAATGAGATCTAACAGACAGTAATGCCAAGGAATGTACAGGGGAAGTTATTAGAACCAATGGAATGTAAATACGAAGAAAGAAGTAAGAAAAGTGGATGAAAAAATAACCAGCCGTGAGCAGGAATCGAACCTACGACCTTCGAATAACGCGTTCGATGCTCTAACCACTGAGCTGTCACAGCAACCTTTCCTCCATCCACTTTTTCGGGTTTATATGTGAATTTAGAAGTAGGAGTGACAGTCAGCGCCATCTATAAGCCGAGCGACAAGTGTCAATATATATATATATATTTATATATATATATATATATATATATATATATATATATATATATATATATTGTTAACAGACTAGAAAAAGGTAGAGAAGAGAAGCAGAGGAAGACGAAGAGTCTTGGCACTATCGCAGTGTGCTGCCGCAAACGAGCATCGGTCACCTCCTGTAAATAAAACCATCTTATCACAGCTGTTACAGTTGTGGTGGACGTGCTGGGTAATCGACACCCGAAGACGGAACGTGAACCGCAAGTTCTTCGACGGAGCCGTCGCATTGCTGGACTTCCACCAAATCCATCTGGTCTGGACATGTCCCACAACGCAAATGAACACCGACCCCTCTCTACTTCTGCGCCGACCAGTTCGGCTCCACAACTGAGAGATACTCGTCCCTTTGCCGGCAGACCAGATGAAGACGTCGAGGCTTGGCTCATCCATTACAAACGGGTGAGCGCCGCTAACAAATGGGATGCCGCTTCTCAGCTTTTGTACGTCGCGTTCTTTCTGACGGATACTGCATTATTGTGGTACGAGAATCGGGAGGAAACGCTAACGACGTGGGACAGATTTGTTTCTGAAATCAAAGAGCGTTTCGGCGACCCAACAACAATAAAGAAAAGAGCAGAACAGACGCTAATGCAACGCGCTCAAGTGCCAGGTGAAACTTGCACGACCTACATTAAGGAAGTCATAAAGCTATGTAGGACCATTGACTCCGGAATGTCTGAGGAAGACAAAGTCGGGCACATTCTAAAAGGAATCGCTGAGGATGTTTATAGTTTCCTCATCGCGAAAGACACCTTGACATCTGTCACCGATGTCATTCGTCATTGCCGCAATTTCGAGCAACTAAAGACGAGGCACATCACGCCAAATTTCGGCTGGCTACCCAATGTGACGACCATCGCGAGCATAGACAGCAACCAGGCGCTTGATCTTGCAACAACAATCCGGCACATAGTACGTGAAGAACTCGGCCTGTACGCGCAAGTGGCAAACCGTCCAAGCACTCATCCCCCCTATCAGCCACCAGAGTTCGAGCGAAACGTTGCTTCATTCTCCTCGCACCGAGTAGCGGAGGGCTTTGAGGATTCTGATGCCACACCTCAGTATCAGCCACGTCTATACGATAGAGGCCCTGCCTATGACGCACAATCACGACGAGCACAGCCACATTTTTATACTCAGGGCTCTCAGCCGGACTACGTCCCGCTGCGGCAAGGACAGTACCAACCCTACTACCAAGGTGTAACTTACGACGAATACAATGAATTCCAGAGAGTGGCAGAAACCCGTT